CACACAAAAACTAGTCTTCCTCTTCTACTTCAAAAACCGAAAAATGTGCTCATACGGCCGACGAGAAAAAAACCCCGCTCTTTTGCAACGCATAGTTAGATAAGCAAACACAAAACCTGAGAGCCTTCATATTCGGTCATGATGTAACGTGGCATCGGGAATCTTTCTTGCAAAATTGCTGCTGCATCAGCAACTGGAGCTTCTAGCAGCTGCTTGAAAGCACTGTATTGAGGATCCTCATGATAGTTCATTTTACGCCATGCAGCAATTGTCTGAAATTTAAGAATTTTCATAAATAATCTGACAAATTTCAGAAAACTGAATACTCAGAGATGATTCAGGAAATATTACCCGTGCCCAGGATTTTAAAAAAAGTCGCTTATTTTAGTCACGAGCCGCGACATCCAAAAATCCAAGCAATTGCACTCAAATGTCCAAGTACTGCATTTACAATCACTCGTTACTTGGGCTTTCGAGATCAAAGTACACTCAATTTCCTTTACTTTGAACAAATGTGGCTGTTTACTCGGGTCAGTGACAATTACTTGGACAGGTGAAGGGACGATACTTGGGTCTTGAATTTCTTGTGTACTACCGTAACATTTTAGGATACAGGTATTGAACTTATTTTCCCAGGAGTTGAGAATGAAGGTGCTAAAAAACTGTGCAATTGCTTGGCTAGGACGATGGTAGCGCTCCCGTTGGTCCTCAAGTTCTAATATTTCTTCGTGGAAGAAACAATAATTGGCCAGCGTGCGGGCTGCCCGTGCGAAAATGCATTTTTTGCATAGTTCCCCGCAGTTTTTGTCGCTACCGGCACCAGTTTTTTCGGCAAATGCTTTTAGCTAAACAAATTAAGACTGACCACCAAAACTGTTAGGAAGCACCCCCTCAAAATTTCAGCCTTCTAGTTTTTCAGGCTCCTGAGTTAGCAACTTACTGGAAAAAAAATTTCACGGGCTCGTGCGTGGGTACCAGACATATCCGATGTCTGGGTTTGAGCTCGTTGACTTACGTGGACAGGAAACATCCTCTTAAAACTACAGTCTTCTAACTTTCCAGTTTCTCGAGTTAGCAACTTACCCGAGAAAAACTGGTGGGCCCGTGCGTGGCTACCACGCGTACTCGAGGGCTGGGTTTGGGCTGAATAAGACTTAGGTGGACGGGGAATATCCTCTTAAAATTGCAATCCTTTAGCTTGTCAGGTACTCGATTATCAACTTACCCGAAAAAGCTTTGGCGGGCTCGCACGCGGGTACCACGCGTACCTGCGGGGTGGGTTCGAGCTCATTAATACCTATTTGGACGGGGAACATCCCCATAAAATCCCAGCATTCTAGCTTCTCAGGTCCCCGAGTTATGAACTTACCCGTGAAAAACTTTTGCGGGCTCTTACGTAAGTACCACGCGGATAATGGCGCCCATTTTGGGAATTGGAGCCCGTACATATATGTAGATCAAGTCCCCAAAGTGTCAGCCCTGTAACTTTTGTAAGTCTTGAGATGAAAAAGCTTGTCAGACGCACACACAGACACACACGCACAAACAACCCCTCGTCAATATGCGTTTTCTGCATTGCATAGCTGCAAAAAACGCATAAAAAACGTTCGTTCTCACCGGAACTGAACGCAGAACTCCGAGAAAGCAGATGATTTTTTTATCGCCCTGCTAGGATTATGCAATCGCTTATCAAAATGAGGCGCCATGCCTTCACATTCATACTATGACATCTGTATATTCTGCAAAAATTTTTATCTGTGGCTTGAATAAAACATCAGAAAAGTTAGCTTTCATCAAATCGACCATGTTTGACGAGGAAAACTTCGGATATTGGATGGTGATCAATTCGGTAGTACTGCCGAATAATTGGTACGGTGAGCTAGTGCAACCCATCCATCCTTGAGATGAAACTGGAGCTGATACAGACTGGGCCTGAACAAAACTAAAACAGCAGCACCAACGAAATCTTGAAGGCATTATAATGCCTGAAAGTGCGCTGCAAATTTTCAGCCTTCTAGTCTGCTTTTGACTTCAAACAGTTTTTGAAGAAGTAGTGAAGGCAAATGCTGCAGTCGAGCGTTTTCGAATTCGTGGCTAGGAAATGTTGTTCTCTGAGGCGCACCACTACTTATCAAATAATTACAATGAAATTGCGGAAATAAACGAGTCGCCAACAAAGAACATTTTTTAGTTGAAGAAACAGTAACTGAAACAAGGAATGCAAAGGCATTGCAATGCGCAGTCGGGACCAAATTCAGCTGTTCACTACTCTTGTTCAGAAAGCACAGAGGAGGCGATGCAGAAGGCTAAGGCATATAATCCTGAGGATGAGCCGCTGTGGCTCCATCATTTGCTGACTGAAGAATCGATGAAGATGCCATCGCCTGAAAAATACATG